CTGCTGCTCCACCCCACAGTTTAGCTACCAGCTCCTCTTTAGATAGCTATATGGGAGAACTACAGGAAAAAATTTATATAAAATACAGAATATCATTCCTGACACTGAGTGGAGTTGCAATCAATTACAACTACCAAGAACTCCAGAAATAGTATCATCATCATTATTATTACAACTACTGTCCCCTGCCACAGCATTGGCACTGTCCACTGGATTGTGAAGTTTGATACACACAGTTTTATATTTAAGAAGACTTCTCTTAAAAAACTGAAATAACTAATAAATATAAAACTGATAGTAGTGTATCTGCTTCTTTCTGAGTAGCAGTGTTCTTTAAATATTTATTGCATAAAACGTTCAGCTTCTAAAAAGAGGAAGGATTAGGTCTGAGGAGTTTGGTCCAATGTATGAAACTAAGGAGAATAATAAAGTATGTCCATTCTTGTGAAAATATTAAATAATTTTATAGATATAAACTTTATTCAAAGCATTGGCTGTATCTAATCTAATACAGCTAAGTGACTTTATGTAATTAAAAAAATAATATATTTGTATATAGGCAAATAAGGTTCTTAAACATTCATATGAACACTGTAGTGACTGAAATTCCTATATTCCTAGAAGATTTCAAGTAAGTATGTGTATAAAACAAGAGTGTGTTAAGTAGTAGTCTGTAAAAGGCAGATTGATTTATACTGTTTGAAAAAATAAGTCTCCGCATTAACAAGATTTTGATACTAACCATGCTGAGAATTCCTTGCTTCAGACACTGGAATCTGGGTTCTGTCCAGGTCAGTAATATGATCAAGATCATCAAATTCCCCCCAGCACACCATTCTCCTGAAAAGCAGCACATCTTCGAAGTAATATCAGTTCCATTTGTATTAAAGTCTATGGTGGTTTTCAGATTTACAATATTAGTATAGTAGATGTGAACTTTGTAGGCACACATATTATCCAAAGTTGTACAACTTTGTGATATTATTAAACTATATTCATAATGGAGCAATCAGTATGTGATTTACATACTTCCTGTAATTTGGGGGAAATATATTTTGATATCTTAACATAATAATTCATGTCCAATTTGAAACACAAAGTTATATAATCAGTTGGCAGGAGACAATATGATCCATTGTTATAATATAAAAATATTGCACAATATCCTGAGCAGAGTTTAGTCATAAATCTTTAGTCCACTAATACGCGATGAGTACATATTGTAGGAAGAGTTCTTAAATTTTAGACTCTAAAATAAACACTGTGGCAATTTTTAAAGCCTTC